GGACAGAAGGGGGGGGTACAGGGTCGGGTTGGGGGACACAAGGGGGGGGACAGGGTCAGGTTTGGGGACACGAGAGGGGTGACAGGGTCAGGTTTGGGGACACCAGAGGGGCGACAGGATCAGGTTTGGGGACGCAAGAGGGGTGACAGAAGGGGACTGGGGAACCCCAGGCCGCGATAGGGGTGACAAAACGATGCTGGGGGACCCCAGGCCGTGACAAGGGGACACAGGACAGCGTTGGGGAGCCCGAGATGTGACAGGAGGGACCCGGACAATTCTGGGGGGACGCCGGGGGACCCCGAAGTCGAAGCTCACCAGCATGTGGAGATCCCGGCAGCACTCGGCCAACCCGAAGCCGTTCTCTTTTCCGCCCCAACTCTACGTCAAGCGACAAAGCGTCAACCTCGAGGGGACGTCGGGGACACCCCCAAAAAATAAAGGGGGACACGCGCACACACACAGGCGCTCGCCCCCCAGGTCTCACCTCAGCCAGGTGCTGCAGGCGGGAGAGGAGGGGGCTTCGCTTGTCGGACCCCAGGCGGGTGATGTAATTGGAGCGTTTGCTGAAGACGTAGAGGAGGTTGAGCACCGCCAACACCACTTGCATGTCCGAGGAGGCCAACAGCGTCGTCAAGTGCTGCGGGACGCGAGAAAAAACACAACCCCCCCCCGTCAGGTGACGGGTGTCACCCCGAAAATCCATTTCGGGGGTTCCCCTCCGTACCTCGATGGAGCTGTAGAGGTGACGGGAGAAGCTGTACTCGATGAGGAGGGCGGTGAAGTTGAGGAGAGCCAGGAGAAGGGCCTTCAGCTGCTCGCGTTCCGGCCGGTCGCAGGCCAACATCCAGGACATGTTTTCCACCGGCCGACCCGCTTCCGCTAGGATTCCGTCGAAACGATCCAAGAGATCCACCCAGTGGTACAGCTCGCACTTGGGGGGGGACAGGCGGAGATGTTGGGGGGCTGTCGGTGACAAGCAGCAGCCCCCCGATATCTCGGGGCGAGGGGGCAGCAAAGGGAACCCCCCGCCCAGGTTGAACCCCCTGTGTGCAGTGGGTTGGGCCCCCCGTTCCCGAGTCGGGGATGGAAAATGGGGTCCTGCCCCCCACCCCGGTATTTTGGGGGGGTTGAATAGGAATTGGGGTCCCCCCCCGTGG